TTTTTTTTTTAAAGAGACAGAGTCTCACTTTGTCACCTTTGGTAGAGTATGGTGGCGTCATATTTCACAGCAACCTCAAACTCTTGGGCTTAAGCTATTCTTTTGCCTCAGCCTCCCAAGTAGCTGGGACTACAGGTGCCTGCCACAATACCGGCTATTTTTACAGATGAGGTCTCTCTCTGGCTCAGGCTGGTCTGGAACCTGTGAGCTCAGACAATCCACCTGCCTCAGCCTCCCAGAGTGCTGGGATTACAGGCATGAGCCATGGTGCCTGGCCCTCCAGAACTTTTTTTAACTTCCCAAATGGAAACTCTAGGCTGGGCATGGTACTTCATGCCTATAATCCTAGCACTTTGGTAGGCCAAGGCAGGATGTTGACTTGAGACTAAGAGTTCAAGACCAGCCTGAACAATGTAGTGGGACCCTATCCCCACAAAAAAACAGAAAAACTAAACCGACATGGTGGCACGTGCCTGTAGTTCCAGCTACTTGGGAGGCAAAAGCAAGAGGATCACATAAGCCCAGGAATTTGAAGTTACAGTGAGCTGTGATGACCCCACTACATTCTAGACTGAGTGACAGAGCAAGGCCCTATCTCAAAAAAACAAACGAAGACTCTGTACTCACTAAGCCCCCCATCCCCACCTCCCTAGCCCCTGGCCACCACCATTCTATTCTCTGTTTCTGTAAATTTGACTTTTCTAGGTACCTCATGTAAGTGGAGTCCTACACTATTTATACTTTTATGTGATCTGTCTATTAGAATGTTGTAAATATTTAGAGTATCTTAAAAATTGATCATTTAAAATTTTTTCTTTTGTCTCAAACTCTTTTTCCTTTATTATTATAACTTATTATCTGTCATTACAAAACTCTTCCTATTCAACATTTATGAATATTTTTAAAAGATAAAAATTTTGGAATCAAGCTACAATCTTATTTCAAGAATTCTTACGTTTTTTAATTTAAAATATTATTGACCAGCTGTTACTGAAAAATCTATGAAGCTTTTCGTAGAAAGGTTACTGATATAGATAACAGGAAGAAATAATAATAGGTACATATTCTTATTCTTACTAGTTAAACCTAAGTACACAGCAATCTATGAAATTGGAGATACTGGCTCTGCGCCTATAGCTCAACCGGCTAAGGCGCCAGCCACGTACACCAAAGGTGGCGGGTTGGAATCCCCAGCCCGGACCCGCCAAAACAACAATGATGGCTGCAACCAAAAAATAGCCGGGCGTTGTGGCGGGCGCCTGTGGTCCCAGCTACTTGGGAG